TTGTGTTTAGTTACAACCTTCAACTAGTTCAGGGAATAAAGACAAAAAAAGATCAAACTTCGGAAAATGCCGGGAAAGTTGGATTTTTGCATGAATCTTCTTTGTGTAGTTCTAAACAGCTTTTGCGCATCGGCATATAAATTAATTCCTTATTGTTTTCGAGTATTTACTTCTGTGAAAAGTAGCTGCCAGTAATTGCAGGTAAAAATAAAAGACACTGTTTACATGTTGGATACGTGCATTACTTTGCATTATTATCGACTTTGAAACTTTTACGAAAATTACTTTTTCCTATATTTTAATAAGTTTCATTTAAAGTTCTATTACAATTCAATGATACCGCTAAGGGATGGAAACTGTATCTTACAACCTTTGAATTGAATTTTGGCATGCCGATTTAGGGGTGCTAACTTAACTCAGCCGACAATTTGTCCGCTTCTGATAACTAACCCGCGAATTTTTATTTTTTCGATACCTAAACAGTTCGCTCTCAAATCCAAAAGAGTATCTCCTTTTTAAGGCCTCCAACACTAATCTCCATTGTATTTAGATAAATAAACCCTCTCAAATTGTCGGATTAACTTGGAAATGGCGATTTCTATATTTTTAATTGGTTAGTAAGTATCCTTTACGTCATCAATCACAACTGTTATCCAAAACCCACCAAATTTATCATGCGTTTTCCACGCGTACTTGTTATCTGGTGCAACGCAAGAAATTTAATACTAGATCATCGCTAAAACTGATGTAATCCGATACAAAAATCAGACTTCCTAGCGTTGACCAGTTCAATTAAACAAAAATCTAAAAAAAACACACGAAAACAATCGGGCGCCTCTTGACTCCAGAAATTTTTTCCATTACACCAAGTACAATATATTTCATTTTATTTAATACCCTTTTCTTAAGGATATTCAAAAGTTAACAATTCTGAATTCCTACATTTGGCCCACTTTAACATACAACTTCCAAACTGCTCCATTAATTATGTTGCACAATGAATTTCTCAATCACATTGAGAAAATGGTTCGCTGTGCTTTAAAAGAAATTTTAGACCGTCCTTCTGACGGCAATGATATATGTATAGATACATCAAAAAATAAAAAAGGTTTCCAATTATTTTGCGCTGGTTGGGAAGCTTATTTACAACATTTTAACATATGTAATCGTTTGCAACTTTCTAATGAGGAAATCATTATAAAAACAAAAAATTTGAAAGATGAAAAGAAATTATGTTTAAAAAAGCTTGATTTAATAGACGAACTCTTCTTGAACAAGCCCGTAAAATATATAAGAACCTTTTTACAAGATCGAGAATACCTTAATTGGACTAAATTGACAGATAAAGGTAGAGGTGTAATCCAGGACTACCCCTCAGCGAATAATATTCTAGATCGCTCTGGACTTTCTTCTTCAAAATTAAAAGACGCAATAAAAAAATTGGTGATGTCGCTCCAGTAAGATTCAGATCCAGGTAGATCAAAGGAAGGCAGCCTGTGTCGGCACTGTTACAACACTGAGACATTCATATCTGAATGTGTCCATTCGGTGAACGTTTACGGAATCATCGCCATCATACTGTGCGTACTATGATACGAGAAGGTATAGTTTATACCGAGAATTTTGGCAGTACCAGAAGGGTTGGCTATTGATAAAAAGAAGAATGTCGGTTGGATTATTGATCCCACTGTTAGACTCGAAGTTGACGAACTACAAGCCATTAATGTAAATTTAGAAAAACAAAAGCTTTATGGTCCAACAATAGTCTTTTTGAAGAATCTTATGGATTAAAAAAAGTCAATATCGTTATTGGTGTTAGCGGAACAATTACCAATTTTCCATCATCAAAATTGTTAAAATTAGCAATAACTACCATAAAAAATTCCATATACATTTTAAGAAATCATTTATATAATTAATTCGATTTCTCTTTTTCATGTTCAAATTTTTATTGTATCCTTTGTGTCACATCTATAAGATTCTAGCGAGTTCCCAGGTAGTTTTTAATTAAAGACGGTTACCGTTGCATTAAAAATTCTACTATAAGTTATTATAAAACATGGTAGTTTCAAATAGTCAAGGACTGATATCGGTGTTTATGCCAATTCCATTTTTTAAACATTTAAGTTACTAGCCAAAAGAGGTTGTTTCTGTTGCTTTCCCATATTAATTTTTTTGCACTAATGTATATTTACTGTTGATTTATGGAAAATTTATCACTAACCTTTTTATTATCTACTGAAAGCGATTAATGTAAACTTCCCTTTGACCGTTCGACTAACAGAAGGGGAGCCAAAATTATATTATCTACTACTACGCATGCACACTAAACACTTCAAGCGGTTTAACTCCCGAATTTCCCTCCTCAATTAATCTATGAAGAGAAACCTTAGACAAAAGAGTCGCAAACTTCTAGGTCCCGGCGCATTTTTGTAAAACAAAAGCATTGCCATTGAGTTAGAAATAAACGGGTTGGGTTAATGCGCCGAATTTTAATCGAAAATCGAAACGAAAATGCAAATTGCAGATGATCATTTGCTACTTTTGCTGTGTGTCCAGTGAGACTGCAGTGCAATTCCAATTAAGTTTTCCCGCATTGTGCGCTAGATCAAAAGCGTCGCGCTTATCGTTTCTCTAATTGCACAAGATTTTATGTGTTGCCATTACAGTAAGTGGCAGCGAACCGTGAATCAAAAAAAAATGGTATCTAATATAACGATTGTTTATTCATTTAATAATGGCAACGTAATGGAATTACGCGGAAGGGACTGTCTATTTGCATACAAGTCCCTACTTCCCAAAATAGTAATTCCATTTGCCCGAACCGCTATTTCATAATTTACGAGCCACGTTCCTTTAGATGTAAAGTAGTAACGTAAGGAAATTCAATTGCATGATACTTTTCTCGTACCGTTTACGACACAAAAGTCAATAACGTAAGGACCTACCTGTAGGACTTGGGGTTAACTCTTTCATCGCAGTTTGCACTTGTAAGTCGTACTTCTTGAACAAGTCTAACTTGCGTGACAAGGACGATTCGGCATTGCTCACCGATTTCCTATACTCGCGCGTACCGAAAGCTTTATATGGAACCATCATCCCGACGCTCAAAATTAGTTTAGACGACGAGGTCGGTACATTTAGAGGAGATTGGATGTGATCCTCCTCGACGACTTCCGGCGCGATTGTTGTTACGACGCGTCCGCTTGAGGAACCGACGCGAATACCGTTTCCCCTGGCACTTGTACCGTTTTTACCACCGCCTATTCCAACTTTGAGACCACTACCCCTCTGTACGTTCCGGTCCTTCCACGCTGGCCCGCCGCTGACGACCAGCAACGCTAATGCAACTGTCAAAAGTAAAACGGCGAACTGCATCTTGAGTTTTCAGTACTTGAAAAGTTTTGCGGGACCGCAAAAGCTCTCGGAAAACTTTTCTCTCATCGCTGCATTAGTCTCGCCGAGCTAGTAGTAGACTCTAAAATTTGAATGGAACAATTTTTGGAGTATTTTCAAAGTTGAGAATGGGCAGTAACGCCTCGCGCAGTTTTTGACCACGGTCGGCTGTTTGCGATAGACGCGGCAGTAAAACTGACGACGAGCGTCTCTTGCATTGCGGAGTTTCAACGCCCATTTGCCCAGTCTTGCGCACAACTTCGAAAATTGCAATATTTGGAATAAAGACATAAACGTAGTTATTTACTTGGATATGCACATCTAAATCTATTTCCTCTAAGCTTGCAAGTTATTAAGTTTCCGCTCCAGAAACTAGAAATCCATTCATTACCCTATCACTAATGGAAATGTGCGATCTAGGCAGAGTATGGATTTTTGAAAATTATAGTGCGGTTTTCATAGTCGGGCGATTATAACAAACTGGATTGGTTCTATCCTTTCTGTTAGTACAACTTTTTCCACTTTTCCCGAAAAGATAACGACACTTGTTACGTTACGTGCCGGGAAAATATGAAGCACTAAATCCTTTGTGGCGAGCTTTCACTGTAGGTCAATAATTCATAATCATCACTTAGCCCTTTTATAGGTGAAGCGTCGGCATGGAATCTTTATTTTTATTGTCGGTGTGATGCATGGGCTGTTTTAAGCGGTAATGAATAACTCGAAACATCATGATGCCATTTTCCAGAAAAGTGTCAGTCGAGACCAGAACAGGTAGTCAGATGAAAGTGGTTTATTATGTTAATCGACAGATGAACATACTAATTACAAGAGTAGTTGTAATAGCATGAGAGCTCATTTGTTGTGACTACTTGTCTAACACAACAATTAATTATAAAAATATGTTTAACTCACACGTGTGCGCAATATTTCATGCACTACAAAGTTTTGACGTTGGGAAAACATCATGTAAAGGGGAGTTTTCCTAGAAAAATTAGTATTTTAAACACGGGGAGGCCTGACCCTTTTATATGCACTTGGCTTGTGCCTATAAAAGGAATGGGTCAACGAAAAAAACATTTAATGCACCACAAAAGTTGTAAGTCTGGCAACATTCACATATATGTACAAGTTTTCTGAGATACATTGATGTAATAAAACAGGAAGGAGTGACACGTTTATATGCCCTTATAAGGTCGCATGTGGACTATGTTATTAAAGTGGTTGTAGGACAATTCGCACTCGCACCCAGACATTTCGCACCAAGGAAAATTCGCACCAAAGATATTTCGCACCCGGACATTTCGCTCCCGGACATTTCGCACCGGGGCAATTCGCACCCGGACAATTCGCTCCCGGACAATTGGGACCGGAATAATTCGCACCAGAATTTCGCTCCCCTGAGAGGGTATTTTGTTTATGGTTGACTTTTAACATAGAAAGTCGGCTGTGAAGTATTAAATTAACTCAGAGCTTGAAACCTCCAATATTACTCACCAATATCACGTTTTATTACTTTGTGCATGTAATAGACGTATACCTACATTTAAAATTTGGATACTTTCAATATATTAAGGTATAATTTGGAACGTGACGTCCATTTTGTTTTCAAAATTTATTAATATTCAATAAAAGTTCTCTAAACCGTTCCCATATAATTTAATAAAACGAAGTGATACACTACATGTTTCGACCAACGGTCATCTTCAGGTGATCTACAAGATGGTAGAGATAATTGAGGAGAGACTATAGCTATTAAACTTACAATAGATGAAAAACAATTAAAAACCCAAAAGGGCAGTAAAACTGGAAAGGCCAACGACCATATCCGTGGTTGGTTGCAGAGTAAAATTGAAATTTGAAGAGGTTGATAAACTAAATTTTTTGCAAGGGAGGGCCGAACCTAAAAACTAACATTAGACGACGGTATAAGCAACGATGAATCTTACGTATAAAAAAGTCGAAAGGTCAAAAGACGATATCCTAACTAATAAAATACCCAATTAAGGGCTTTGAAACTGGAAACCATCTGCACTTCCAAAATCAGTGCTCGGTTTAGCTAATCTTACCTTGTCATCGTTGACCCAGATCCTGGCATTGCATGTTAAACTAAGAGCTGATGGATCCTTCTTTGCTCTTCTCGCTCGACACAGCCATGATGAGCAGTTTTGGAGTTTAAGGTTCTTAGCAAAGAGGTACATGTATCCTTCATAGATTACACAGGTCAACAAAAACATATTTTTTTTGCGCATGGGATTTACATAATATATTCTGACTATAATAAGCAAAAATAAATAAAAAGTGCAATTAGACATCGAAAATATTTGCTTTTACAAAAGTTATAGCGATTTGATTGAAAGCTTTCAGGGGCGAAAATTAAAGCTGGAATCTTTGTTTTCCCTCAAATAAAAAGAAAAATGGAGAGTGATACTTTCCCGCGGTTACTTAGCAAAGAGGAAAAGAAATCCTGGAACAGTTTTAAGGCGATAGTCCATGTTTTCCCGTTCAGTGTTTCCTGGGAAACCATCGAGCTGAAAATTATGACGAGCTGACAGGTTTTGGTGTTGCATCATCGGGTATAGAATGTCTCTTAAGATGCACAGGTTACATTTTCATTTAGATTAATTTAAGGATAATATGGGAGCTTATTCGGAATAACAAGGACAACCCTTTCATCAAGACATATTGGAATTTAGGCACGTTACCAAGGCCAGTAAGCTGGAAGCATGATGGAAGGTCATATTTGGGGGGTTGATGAGAAAAACTTCAGTTGAACATGACAAAAACAGCAAAACTGTTCCATTTTTAAACATTTAGACTCTAAGACAAACAAATTTTAAATGTAGGAACGTTACCTTATAATAAATCATGCCTATGTAAGTAAGATTTTATAGGTATTTTTATTTTTTGGTTTTTTGCATTTTTTTCGCACAAAAGCAAATACATAACCTTTTTTTGTTCTAATTCTTATTTGTGGCTATACAAGCAATACAAATAAGGTATAATATATGTCCCATGCGCAAAAATGCTGTAGACCAGTGTTATGTATCTCTTTCCCCTTTTCGTTGTAGCGAACTCCATTGTTACGCGCCCCGTATAGTTTGCACCCCCTAAATCTCATATCCATTATCAACTTTTTGTAACAAATCAAATTTCTACTTTTATCCTCAGGGACAAGTCCATTTTTGATGATATTTTCCTTGATTTTGGCATTTTAATGTGGCACTTAAATATTTATGTTGGTTAAACAGTAGCCATACAATTTGTAGAGGAATAATTTTTTTAATAGTATTTATGAGGCAAGAATTCATACGTACAATCCTATGTACCTTTTTAAATGGAATGGACCATATCAAAGCAGTAGAGATATTAGGTCACTTTAATAGCATCCATATCACTCAAAATCTGGAATTTAGTACTTATTTTATTGTAATCTCCGTATTAAACATGAGAACACTTGCTAAAGGTACCATGAATGAAAATTTATTTAAAAGAAAAAGGTAAAAAGACACTCATCTGTGATGTAAATTGTCCATGCACTCATGTTCACAAGTAGACGGATGCTGCTAAACGCTGGTATCGGTCTATCAGCCTAAGAGCCGATGGATCCTTCTTTGCTCTTCTCCCTCGACACAGCCATGATGAGCAGTTTTGGAGTTTAAGGTGCTTAGCAAAGAGGTACATGTATCCTTCATAGATTATGTGTTACGACACACCTTGTATATTCAGGAAAATGCACAAATATCAATTGATAAATATTTGGCATTATCGCTGTACGGAGAATCACCACGCAGGTCTCGTACCTCGTTATACGTTTCCTTTTACAAATCGGTCACCGTTCAGGCTAGTCGCCTTTCAATCAAGCTTTATTAAATTTAAATGTAATAAATAGTGTTAGCTGTGTACAAGTGAGGCAAGCTAATAATCCTTGAGGACGTTGAGGTCGTTTCGGCATTATCTGATGGTACCAGTTCACCGATTCACGGAGATAAACTGCCGACTACTCCGTAGCCGTAAAGGGTCGCTCCCATACGGCACTCTCCATTTTGACGCGTCCAATCACCAGGTGTGCACACCGTCATACCGCATCAAAGAAACGAATACCAACCTATCCACGATTACGAAAGAATTTTATCAACGATCTTCGATGACCATTACACCTTTGATTAGCCTCAGCGTCCTAGTATACCTTTTGTAATTTAGTAACTCCATGGAGTATAACCCATATTTATCTGTTAGGTTAACCTTATATAAATAAATTTTCATTAACTATTTTTCATCAATTTTGTGTACAAGTGAAGCTTGGTTGTTGGCCAATTCTCTCTTTTCCAAATTTACGGTCCCGGACTGATGTTCCCTCGGGCTCATTGGTTTACGGTACATATGAATCTCTTTCCCCTTTTCGTTGTACCGAACTCCATTGTTACGCGCCCCGTAGAGTTTGCACCGCCTAAATCTCATATCCATTATCAACTTTTTGTAATAAATCAAATTTCGACTTTTAGCCTCAGGGACAAGTCCATTTTTGATGATATTTTCCTTGATTTTGGCATTTTAATGTGGCACTTAAATATTTATGTTGGTTAAACAATATAGCCATACAATTTACAGAGGAATAATTTTTTTAATAGTATTTATGAGGCAAGAATTCATACGTACAATCCTATGTACCTTTTTAAATGGAATGGCCCGTATCAAAGCAGTAGAGATTTTAGGTCACTTTAATAGCATCCATATCACTCAAAATCTGGAATTTAGTACACTCATCCGTGATGTAAATTGTCCATGCACTCTTTTTCACAAGTAGACGGATGCTGCTAAACGCTGGTATCGGTCTATCAGCAAAACTGTCACGTGACATTTCTTAAACCTATTTACCCAGTTATATTGTACCAATTTACAATCAAGGTTTTTTTCATTTCGAAACCTTTTAGCACATACAAATAATATTGCAATAGGAATATAAAAGTCTAAATAAAATTTTAACAATTATTATTTGTTAATAGCTGCAAGTTAAGTTTCCTAGTTCTCTAACCTTCGATGACGTCCATTTAAAGGACACATAACGAAATACGTATGTATTGTCTTAAAAGAATCTCAAGTAAATTATAATCATATTTGAACGTAAAACAAATAGATTCTTGAGAGTTTCCGTGAAATTAAATAGATAAGAACTGTAAAGTAACGAAAAAAGCAAAAAATGTTGATAAATATCGTGAAAAAATTTGATCTTGCTATAAATTATATGGCTATTATTTAAATAATATACCAGGTAATATACTGAAATTGTGAAGATCCATGACTCTCAATGGGGTACTTAAGAAGCTTCGGACAAATAACACCAAAATCTACCCATTTATTATTATAACAATTTTTATGGGGAGATTTTGGTGTTATTTCTCCGAAGCTAGATCGAGCAGGGCGGGACTTCAATTTCCAGTCGGGAGAATTCACAGGCTGCTTAGGAAGGGAAACTACGCGGAGCGAGTCGGTGCCGGCGCTCCCGTCTACCTCGCCGCCGTCATGGAGTACCTGGCCGCCGAAGTTCTCGAATTGGCCGGCAACGCCGCTAGAGATAACAAAAAGACGCGTATCATACCGCGCCATCTGCAACTCGCGATCAGAAACGACGAGGAATTAAACAAGCTCCTGTCGGGCGTCACGATCGCCCAGGGTGGCGTTCTCCCGAACATACAGGCCGTCCTTTTGCCAAAGAAGACGGAAAAAAAGGCGTAAGAAGTTCGCCTTTCCGTGGTGCATTAGAAACGATACATTTCTATTTCTATTTCTGTAAAATAAAATAATTTTCAAAAAACGCTTTGGCACGTCAAATTGATCATGGAAGGAAACAGTGTCTAAAATAAAACTTGCTCACTAATGTCTTTGTCTCGCATCGCTGACAGTGCAACCCTTAAAATCTTAAATGATGCATCGTTGGTAAGGTCGCCCATCTCTGAATTCGGATATGTAATTTTTTTGGTTTAGTTGTTTCATTTCCAGCGCATTCGACGTTGCAGGTACAAGTTTTCTCTTTTTTTATACCACTTGCAACTGCATAATTTTGACGCACGATCGCATTAGCTTCTATTACATAGTGATCGGCCCGACATCCTTCCAATGACATAAACAACAGCGCGCCCTCAACTTACTTTTAAAATATTTCGAAAATATCAAATCTAAAAATTTATAGTCTCACCAAACTCAGAGAAGGAAAGCCTTTCCAATGATGTCCTATCTTCCTTGTTGCGCAATTACCAATGCTAAGGGTTTTGCTTTAGTACTAGGTATGCCATACAAAAATTAAAAAGGAAGTATATAGGTATTTAATAATTACAAACATTTAAAAGAAAAAATCATCAATATCGACCTGTTCCTAAAACGTTTCAAGATTTTCAAAACCCTTACTGTTTTGATTATTAACAATCTCTTAAAAAATGTCAGAATTTTTCCATGTATCTCTTCAAACTATAAAATAAATAACAGTAAGAAAATCACAAAGAAACTTTTAAGTTCATTCACTACCATAGTTGTAGCAAAGATAACGCAAAAAAATAAGCAGTTAGTGTAATTTTACTCAGTCACCAATAATCAACATATAGCCATATGTGGTCAAAGAAACGTAAAACTGGTTCTAAGAAAACTGGAAACTTACCTTTTCTGAACACCACCACAACACTACCACCAGAAATAAAATTTTTTAAAATTAAAAAAAAGTATACACAAAATCAAAACCCGTGCTCAGATACATTTTAAAATACCACTCTGTCAAACGTTCAAGAATGAAGATACTATACAGGCGTTAAAGTTCTAATTAGTTGTGGTCATACGTACCTACTTAAACCTGATTTTTCGGACCTAATTACTTTGACCTTGTAATAAACCCTATCCGAGTGCGAATTGTCCGGGCGCGAAATATCCGCACACGTATTAAAGTACCTACAAAAGTGACAACCCTCGCCATTGAGTTCTCATGCAAGCGCGAGTTTCTTACAAAAATTGGTAACTTTAAAATGAGCCCTGTAAAAAAAATTAACCAAGGAAACAACAATATTTAATGAAAGAAAAAAAATTTAATTAGGAGCAACAGTATTCAAATTATTCACGAAAAACTAGAAAAATGGATCTTTATCACCTCCCCCTCCCTTAGCTCGCACCCCACCCCTCTGTACTTTTAGTACGTTGTTCAGGGTACCTTCCCCCACATCTGTGCCAAAATTGACTTCTACGCGATTTTTTCCGCTATTTTTCCTTCGTTGCCTGGACTAGTAGTCTTTTTCCAGCTGTAAGCATAGGGTAAGTCACTCCAAAAATAATGACGCAACTGTATATGTGAAATATTTCAATTTAGTAAGTCAAGTAAATCTGGAAGGGTGGGGGGTATTTCCATATAACCACAAAATTGGTTTATTTCATTTGAATTGTTTATTTCCGTGGTTGTTTTTCAATTTTAGAATTATTTGAAATTGTGTAATTTATTCAAATCAGATTCAGATCATATTTTGGAAAATCTTGGGGAAGGAATTTCTTTTATTGTGAAAGTAGTGCTTCTTTAAATATTGGAATCAACGAAAAAAAAGAGGCTAACTGGATCAAGACGCCGACGGTTGAAAAGCATGTCATTCTATTTGCGCTCTTTATTTTATTCGAGCTATTCGCCCGATTTGATTGGTTCAGGAGGTAATTTGTTCAATATTCTAATAATTAAGTAATATTTTAAGAGTTTCTTAATTTATTTGTCTAACATCTGCGTGTGGGGTAATTTATCTAAACGAGCTTTGTAAACTTCTCCTTCTTTCAGGAATTATTTTTTATTTCATGTGTTTCGGATTCATCTGAGATTGACCTTTTCGGTATCCAAGATTTATTTTAGGTGTTGATCAAAATTTTTTTATAAATTCTTTGGCATTTTCGGAAGTTGATTGAGGCCACTACGAGGGCTACTCGTAAGATAAATGAACAACTGCTCACAGGTTACAAATACACTAGGGACGTGCCGGCCGCAAAACCGGATCTATACTGGATTCTATTATAATAAATAGCATTTCGAGGTTAAATAAAGGGTATTGGAGTATCTATAGGAGCAGAGACTTAAGCCACTACCTTTTAGTATCTTAATTACACGTACCTACTCAAAAATAGTAGACAGCATGCTAACCAAATTACTACTACAGAAAGAAAACATAAATATAAATGAGATGGGAAAAATGATTGAAAAAGACAAATAAACAAAATTGTGAAACCAGGAGATTGTCGATAACATTAAAACACATAGCAGCACAAGCAGGATAATGTCTGGGGGATCCTGCTTCCAAAGTATTGTTGAAAGAGAGGTTAGCAGCAAAATTTCATATCTCCTGAACGGATGGTGCTACTGACCTGAAATTTGAAGAAGGATGAGGCAGGATGCTAGCAGCACTAGCAGGATGAGGTTTGATTGATCCTGCGTCTAAAATGTTGCCAACTTTCCTCGCCTTTTCAATCACTATTTTCTGCTTATCCCGCCATCCTGCTTTTTACCCGTTAAATTTAGGGAGTTCTACAGCAGCTTGAATCGCCGTAGCTTCAGTCACGATGGCTGTGGTCGTCAACGGTCCTTCCATTTGCCCCTCAAGTGGTTGAAAAGTGAATTCTGACTCTCATAAGTCCAGATTCAGTTTCTCCTCCGAAGGATCGCCCTTCACAAGCATCTCTTCAGTCTCTGAATTGCTATTTGGAAGTCTCGAATCTTATTTCTCTAGGTCACCTTCAACAAAAAGTAAAAATGAAAAATTCCCACACTTCTTCCTCCTTTAAAATTTGCATAAATAGAAGAAGGTAAGAATAAGATGGAAATGCCGTCTCAATCAACGCTTGCATTTGCAGAACCCAAGACGTGCACAACACGATATTTCTACCACCTTTCAGATGTTCTTTACCACCTGAAGTTGAATGTAATTGCATTTCTCCTATCACGGTTCTAGCCCGAACTGCTCTAACTAAAAAGAAGCGCTGATATCCGATTGTGACAGTCATTTGGCCCGGTGACATTTAGTTCACTCGAATAAAGTCAAGTCATTTACATTCCATTGGGTATATCTCGAATCGTAGAATATGCAAACAGTTTCCTTTTTGGTTTAGGTACTGCACATTCATTTACTCCAATCGAGATAAGCCCGATGCCTTTTATACTGCCTAAAGTTTGTATGCATACATTCTTAGTAAATTGAAAAAGAATTACTCCAGTCGAACTTTCCGTCTAAGTTAAACTTCGTAACTTCGAGAGAAAGTAAAGGAAGTATTTTGCGCAAATTCGCCACGAGGCACATTAGAACAATTCCATTATCTTTCTTATGAAAAAGTACGAAAAAAATTAAGAATAATGTATGTAATTTGTTCCTCTTAGCTCACTTTTTCTAGTAAAACTTGGCTACTTAATAAACGTCTTTGTGAGAATTTTATTCCACGAAAGAGCGGTTTTTGAATTATTATAATTATGTGGGTTATTTATATAGTGTAAAACTACGGTAAATTATTTCAAAAGCAATAATTGTTTAATACATTTCTCAATTTCTGGACGAATTTTATACTTTACCTCAAGCTAATTTAAAATTACCAACCCTTGTGTTCGCAGACGTAAAAGTAGAAGTTATGTATCGCACTCTTTTAATGTTCCTGAAGACGGCATGGGCGTAGGGGTGGAAAATGCTTTTCAGGATTTTTTTAGTCGATGATAAGTGAAAATAATGGTCTATTTCAGAATTATTAACTGTATCGGATTTACTTGCTACTCTAATTTGACAACAAAATTTATCCACAACAGTATATAGGTACAATTTTAGGGTCCAAAGGAATATAGTAGGGCGCTTTGTTGAGCGAAGGTGTTGGGAAGGAACTGTGTAGGAGGATTGGAGGTCCTGACCTCCCTTCTAAATGTCAACGGTTCATAAAGCCACTACGACACGGATTTAGCCCCAGGTGTGCTTATTACTAAAAGTGGTTTTCCTGACCTTTATATAACGATTTTCCGATTTATAATGATGATAGTAGAGTATTAACCGATAATAGAACTTATAGCAGTCGTAGTCTACGCTTACTTCATCTGCTCCTAAGATTTCCCAGGTAAACAAATTCAAAAGTTTCGTATCAATCACGTTTATAGCAGAATAAAACTCTACACGTAAAAAATGGGCGGTTATATTCCTGTAGGAATATTATGCGTCTATTATCCCCATTGATATACGAGTTATATGCGTTTGCGGAATGCGCATTATTTTCGCATATGGAATATGTCAGTAGGCATTATTCGGGGGTAAATATACGAGAGCTTGATTTTTAATCGGATCATTTTATTTTTACACGAAAGTTTTGTCGCAACGGAAAAAAGCTCGAGATCAAAAGCGCGATATCTTATTATCCCGATTTAAAATCAAGATCGAGTGTATTTTAGGTAGATTAATACAAAACAATAAATTTCACAAACACTTTATATTTTACGCATTGCTTCACGCATTTTTATCGCGGATAAAAGGTTACGTAGCTTTTAATCGCTGTTAAAAAGCTGCCTACTCTCAGATTAAAAAGTATGTGCGGTCGAGAACAGAAAAATAACCATTGGGCCAATTTTAATGAACTGGGTATCAAGTTAAAGCCCGTTTAATTCTACTCTCTATACTAAATAAACAATATACTGTAACGTTTAGGTTTTGAACTTCTGAATTTTTCCCGCAAAAATAAGTCAATTAGAATTTTCAAGCTGT